GGCTATAATGTGTGTAACCCTGTCTGTTGTATAGACAATCAAACCTGAGAGGGAATGCAGAGGAGGATGGGCGGGAGGAGGGGGGAGTTGGGGCAGTAAGTTGGGGCATATAAGCACAACCAATGGACACAGACAATAGGGGAGGGGGTTGAAGGCTTGGGCTGGGGTGCAGGGGCAGGCTGGGAGGGGACAACAGAGGGAAAAGAGGACATATGTAATACTTTCAACAATAAAGAATTTTTTAAAAAAGAAACCATCAACAAAATGAAAAGGCAACCCACTGCATGGGAGAATATATTTATCAGTGATAAATCTGATAAGGGGTTAATTTGAAAAAAAAAATTTACACAACTCAACAACAAAGACAAACAACTGAATTAAAAAATGGGCAAAGAATCTAAACAGACACTTGTTCAAGGATGACATTCAGATTTCCAATAGATATATAAAAAGATGCTCAGTGTCACTAATCATCAGGGAGATGCAAATTAAAGTAAGCTCTCAATAAAACCTTCTTCTTTCATTATTTGATAGTTTTGCAGGTAAAATAGAAAACAATCTTCAGTTTCTTTGTTCTCTATTCTCTGCACAAAGAATTCTGGCTTGTACTTGATGATTGGTTTTAATCACAAATTGCACAGATATGATCACTGTCTAGTTAGTAGTACTATTAAATAATGAAACAACTTAACACTGGGTAAGGCATTTAAATGATTGGAGTCAAATATTAGTTTTCCTCTGTGAAAGGATGAAATGAATTACTAACCTCATTAAGGCTTCTCTTGGGTATATAAAGAAATGGTATATCTGAAAACATATACATTTAATTACAACAAAGTATAAGGTTTTAGATTGATGACATAAAAAGGGATTGAAGGAGAGGCCAGGGGATTGTCAAGGGCGGGGGAAAAAAAAGGACACATATGTAATACCCTTTGTAATACTTTAAGCAATAAAAAAAGGGGGATTGAAATATACCATATTGTGACTTCAGTAAATTTCCTGTGATCAAAACGTTCTAGACTTTAAAGTTTATACCCAGATACCAACTTTGAAAGGGAAATAGACCCATCATATTTTCTTTTAGGGTTTTTTTCAGAGTTGAGGGACGAGTATTCAAAATACTATTATTTTTCTTTCTTTATTGATTAAGGTATTACATATGTGTCCTTATCCCCCCATTGCCCCCCCCTCGCTCATGCCCTCACCCCCCTGGTGTCTGTGTCCATTGGTTGTGTTTATATGCATGCATACAAGTCCTTTGATTGATCTCTCCCCCTTAACCCCACCCTCCCCTACCTTCCCTCTGAGGTTTGAGCATCTGATCAATACTTCTCTGTCTCTGGATCTGTTTTTGTTCCTCAGTTTATGTTCATTATATTCCACAAATGAGTGAGATCATGTGATATTTATCTTTCTCTGACTGACTTATTTCACTTAGCATAATGCTCTCCAGGTCTATCCATGCTGTTGTAAATGGTAGGATTTCCTTCCTCTTTACAGCAGCATAATATTCCATTGTGTAGATGTAACACCATTTTTTAATCCACTCATCTGCTGATGGGCACTTAGGCTTTTTCCAAATCTTAGCTATTGTGGTGCTATGAACATAGGGGTGCATATATCCTTTCTGATTGGTGTTTCTAGTTTCTTGGGATATATTTCTAGAAGTGGGCCAAACGGAAGTTCCATTTTTAGTTTTTTGAGGAAACACCATACTGTTCTCCACAGTGCCTGCACCAGTCTGCATTCCCACCAGCAGTGCACGAGGGTTCTTTTTCTCTGCATCCTCTCCAGCACTTATCATTTGTTGATTTGTTGATGATAGCCATTCTGACAGGTGTGAGATGGTACCTCATTGTTGTTTTGATTTGCATCTTTCGGATGATTAGTGACTTTGAGCATGTTTTTATATGTCTCTTAGCCTTCCTTATGTCCTCTTTCGAAAAGTATCTATTTAGGTCAGTTGCCCATTTTTTATTTGGGTTGTTTATCTTCCTTTTGTTAAGTTGTATGAGTTCCCTCTAAATGTTAGAGATTAAACCCTTAGCGATAACATTGGCAAATATGTTCTCCCATGTAATGGGCTTTCTTGTTGTTTTGTTGATGATGTGCAAAAGCTTTTTTTTTTAATATTTTATTTATTTATTTATTTATTTATTTATTTATTTATTTTATTGCTTAAAGTATTTCAAAGGGTATTACATATGTGTCCTTTTTTTTTTTCCCCGCCCTTGCCAATCCCCTGGCCTCCCCTCCCCCCCCCTGTCTTTTTTCCCTTGTCTTATGTCTATTGGTTATGCTTATATGCATGCATACAAGTCCTTCGGTTGATCTCTTACCCCCCTCCCTCCTGCCCTCCAACCCTCCCCGGCCTTCCCGCTGCAGTTTGACAATCTGTTTGAGGCAGCTCTGCCTCTGTATCTATTATTGTTCATAAGTTTATAATGGTCTTTATTATCCATGAATGAGTGAGATCATGTGGTATTTTTCCTTCATTGACTGGCTTATTTCACTTAGCATAATGAAAAGCTTTTTATTTTGATGTAGTCCCATTTGTTTATTTTCCTCTTTAGTTTCCATTGTCCTAGGAGCTGTATCAGTGAAAATATTGCTTCCATATATGTCTGAGATTTTGCTGCCTGTGGATTCCTCTAAGATTTTTATGGTTTCCCGTCTTATGTTTAAGTCCTTTCTCCATTTTGCGTTTGTTTTCTTTTTGTTTATGGTGTAAGTTGGTGGTCTAGTTTCATTTTTTTGCATGTATCTGTCCAATTTTCCCAACACCATTTATTGAAGAGACTGTCTTGGCTCCATTGTAGGTCTTGCCTCCTTTGTCCAGTATTAATTGAGCATAGTGGTTTGGGTCGATTTCTGGCTTCTCTATTTTATTCCATTGGTCTATATATGTTTGTTCTTGTGCCATTGAACAGACATATAGACCAATAAGTACTTATATTAACCTGAAGGCATGTGATATGGAAAATAAAATTACAAACTTTAGACCTGGCCAGGTGGCTCAATTAGTATCCCATACACCAAAAGGTCTTGGGTTGCATTCCCAGTCAGGGCACATACCTAGGTTGCAGTTTCAGTCTATAGTCGGGGCGCATAAGGGAGGCAAACAGATCTGTTTCTTTCTCACATGAATGTTTCTCTCTTATTCTCTTCTCTCCATCCTTTCCTCCCTCCCTCTCTCCATTACATTCTCTAAAAATAAATAAAAATATCACATATCTTGATGATGATTTAAAAATGGCAAACTTTAGCCTAGCCGATGTTGCTCAGTGGTTGAACTTCGACCTATGAACCAGGAGGTCACGGTTCGATTCCAGGTCAGGGCATGTGCCTGGGTTGAAGGCTCGATCTCCAGTGTGGGGCATGTAGGAGGCAGCCAGTCAATGATTCTCTCTCATCATTAATATTTCTCTCTCTCCCTTTTCCTTCCTTTTTATATATAAATATATATATATTTTTAAAAATTACAAACTTTAGTTCAATACCAAAAAGTACAAATGACATAAAAATTCTGTGTATGACATGACTGTGGTTAAAACCTCTTTGTTCCATAGTCTTATAGAATGCTTGAGCTATGTTAGCTCAACTCTATCATTTTTATCATCAGATAAATAACAATTGGAGACCCAAAAAGAGGAATATATTGGTCAAAAACACTAAAGTACTTAATATCAGAACCAGAAATAGTTCTGATCTCTTGCCTCAGTTTCAGGTGCTTTTTGTTACAGTACTTTACTAGTATGATAAGATTTATACACTTCAATTATTAACCAAGTAAAAATTTTGAAGTTCTGCCAACAATCAGTGAAATTAGATAATTAGAGTATTGTTATCATTTAACCATTTAAATAATTCCTCAGGAGCATCTAAATCACATTCCTCCTATAGGCTTAGGTTGGGATGCATTCATGCAGTATTCTAACAGAGCATCTTTCCAGATGGTTTCAATATATTTTTACTCTGATCTAATTTAAATAATGTTATAAAATGTACTTAATGGCATCTTCTGTTAATGTAATGCAAATATTAAACTACTTTCATAGTCAGTCATTTAATACAATAATTTTGTCTTCCAGGAAATATTGCAAACTATCATATCTTTAAGTACACACTATTTTTAATACCAAGGCAGCTCTTAGGTCAATTTACATAGTTACATTTACATATGCATTCCCTAAAGTATGGGAGCTCTGAAATATGGGATGTTGATATTTTAAGTGTAAGTATTGAAACCATCTTATGAATTTAATTGCCTAGATAAGAGTTTTGTATTTAAGCATAGAAAATATTTCATTTGAATGAAAACTAATACATTTAATAAAAGTAAGTAGTATACATTAATGAGAGGTATGTCTACTACACCACTCTTTTTTGTAGTTTTAAAATTTATTATTTTCCATCACAATTTATCTCCCCTATACCCTCTTCCACATTCACCCACCCATCCTGCACAATCACTACACTGTTGTAGTACACCACTCTTAAAATAATCACTATGAATTTTTCTTTGTTTTACTTTGTAGTTCCCAATCACCTCATTTATTTGGAATTATTATGAAGTGAGGTCTTAGTGAAATGTAATTTCTTCAAATTTAAACATTAAATTATATCTGTTTATAACATACAGATGTGAGATTTATTTACTCTTTCCTATCACAATGTTCAAAACATTGGGGATTCATATATATGAATTATCATCTAGAACATTAAACGTAATATTGCATTTGGGTCCCCATACACTTCTATCTCAAGAGCTATTGTGATACAAAGTGTTATGTATCCCAAGTCATAATGATTACTGTTTGTGTTATTTTTAAATTGTATTTTAATCTGGGCTTGTACATTTGATCCAATATTATTTTAGACAGCTAAATCTTTGCCTTAATCTATTTAATCTTATCTTCACATTGCTGCTTCAACTGTTAAAAGTTTTAAGAAATCAGTTTACTGAGATCCATTCCTTAGATCACTCCTTTCTGCCGGTGAACGCCGCGGAGTAAGCGTCATTGGAATTTCCCCTGTTGCAGTCATCATGTCTAAGTCTGAGTCTCCCAAGGAGCCGGAGCAGCTGCGGAAGTTCATTATCGGAGGTTTGAGCTTTGAAACAACCGATGAGAGTCTGAGGAGCCATTCTGAGCAATGGGGAACGCTCACGGACTGTGTGGTGATGAGAGATCCAAACACCAAGCGCTCCAGAGGCTTTGGGTTTGTCACCTATGCCACTGTGGAGGAGGTGGATGCAGCCATGAACGCGAGGCCACACAAGGTGGACGGAATAGTGGTGGAACCAAAGAGGGCTGTCTCAAGAGAAGATTCTCAGAGACCTGGTGCTCACTTAACTGTGAAAAAGATTTTTGTCGGTGGTATTAAAGAAGACACTGAAGAACATCACCTAAGTGATTATTTTGAACAGTATGGGAAAATAGAAGTGATTGAAATCATGACTGACCGAGGCAGTGGTGGCAAAAAGGGCTTTGCTTTTGTAACCTTTGACGACCATGACTCTGTAGACAAGATTGTCATTCAGAAATACCATACTGTGAATGGCCACAACTGTGAAGTAAGGAAAGCTCTATCTAAGCAAGAGATGGCTAGTGCTTGGTACAGCCAAAGAGGTCGAAGTGGTTCTGGAAACTTCAGAGGTGGTCGTGGAGATGGTTTTGGTGGAAACGACAACTTTGGTTGTGGAGGAAACTTCAGTGGTCGAGGTGGCTTTGGTGGTAGCCGTGGTGGTGGTGGATATGGTGGCAGTGGGGATGGCTATAACGGATTTGGTAATGATGGAAGCAATTTTGGAGGTGGTGGAAGCTGCAATGATTTTGGCAATTACAACAATCAATCTTCAAATTTTGGGCCTATGAAAGGAGGAAACTTTG